GTACAAACGATGTGATCCTAATTCGTTCATGTGAAGACATGCGAGTGAGGGTGTCCCGTGCAAAGAGTTTGCATAAGACCGGACCATGAGATAGTCACTTTTACTTTATAACACCGTTTACTGTTTGACACTGACTATCTTAACTTTGATGGCCTAGGTAACTCGATCTTAATCCTGAGCTAACTATGAACTTCTGTTTACTCGGGATTATCCTTAGATCTGCAGTGAGGAGAGTGCAGCTACGGGCTTTATTCCATGTTCTATCAAATAGTCTTGGAATTTCAAGTCCATGTACTCTCCACCTCGATCCGATCGAAGTGTCTTTATTGATTTACCTAATTGGTTTTCAACTTCTGCCTTATATTCCTTGAACTTTTCAAGGGTTTCAGACTTGTTATGCATTAGGTAAATATGACCATACCTAGAATAATCATCAATGAAGCTGATGAAATATTCATACCCACCTCGAGCTCTTACGTTCATCGGTCCACAAAGGTCTGAGTGAACGAGCTCTAAGGGTATCGTGGCTCTAAAACCCTTTCCAGTAAAAGATCTTTTAGTCATTTTTCCGTCAAGACAGGACTCACATGGTGGTAAGGAGTTATCTTCTAACTTATTTAAAAGTCCACTCTTAACCAGCCTCCCAATCCTATTGAGATTTATATGTCCAAGTCTTAAGTGCCATAATAAAGCGTTAGAAGAAACCTTTTGTCTTTTATTCTGAGTTTCGACAGTTCTAAACATCTCAGTCATAAAGATAAAATTTGCTCTGGTCGGTCTTAACTTATATAAGTTGTTTTCGAGTATAGCAGAACAAATTTGAATACCTTTTTTGAATATGAACGCTTCATTAATTTCAAAGGATATTCTATACATTTGTTCTAATAAACATGAGATAGATATTAAGTTCCTTTTCATAAGAGGAACATACAAAACATTTTCTAGTAAAATGTATCTATCGTCAAAAAACAACTTTAAATCTCCCACTGCTTTGGCTGAGACAACATYTCCAGTTCCAACTTTGAGAATTATCTCGCCTTCTTCCAGCTTCTTCYAGGAACTAGTTTCCTGAAATGAGAAACAAATATGGTTAGTGGCTYCTGAATCAAGTACCCAGGTGGAAGTATCATACTCCACTAAACATGTTTCAACAACTAGTAAATCGTATTTACCTGTCGTTGCTTTCTCTGCCTTCTTCTCGGCAAGGTACTTCGGGCAATTTCTCTTCCRATGCCCGTCTTGGTTGCAATGGAAACAGATTCCCTTTGYAACATTCTTTCCCTTGTCAACCACGRGAGCCTTCCYCTTTTCCTTCTTCTTCTTCATTTGAACATTTCTGTTTTTTGAAGGTCCAGCTTTTGCTTTAGAGGTCGAACCTCTTGGTATTTTCTTTCTGGTGGCAACGTTTGCCTCCACTTCCTTCCCCTTAGCTTTAGTAAGGTTCTGGAAACGCTGGAGCTCGTTTAGAAGGGTTGTCWAGTTGAATTCTATTTTATTCAGAGCAGCATTGGTCTGAAAAGGTATGAAGCTCTTCRGAAGAGACTCCATAATAAAACTTACTTGACTTGCCTCATCAATGGTGGCCCCATTCACTTCAGCAGTATTGAAGTGGACCATCATGTCCAGGACATGTT